TCTCAAATGAGAACTTTGTTGCTCTCTACTCTGATGCTGAATAATGATAAGAGACTGTAATTATCGAGTCTCTGCCTCAAATGTGCTCCCTATCCTTGGTAATGGTCAATTTTTGTCCAGTTAAGCTCTCCTTTGGGGTCCACTAATATGTCTCTCCATCTTTGCACCTTCATGGCACTAGAACTGCCAATGAGGAACTGGAAGAAAGGGTGCAAGGTGCCTCTAGTGTGTCCTCGTCAATCTCTAGCTCACTGTCAGCCTCTCACACATCGACCTCTTGTGGCAGATGTCCACTCCTGCTTCTTGATCTTTCGCTATCAAGCGGTATCCTTCCACTACTGTTATTGGAGGATCATTGAACTAATTAGAATTGAGACTCCTAATCCTTCGAACTCTCCTCCTCCTCTATCACGATCACTGGCACCCTCTTGTTCAGTCATGCAGAACATTGAGGTGCTACATGCTCTGGCTCAGCTCGAGGTGGACTAGGATGCCTTGGTCCTCGTGATGAAGAAGCAACATCATCTCCTTTCTTCTTGTATCATCCCATCCATTTGGGAATTCCTCTCATTTTCCATCTTAAAAGAAACATAGGGGATAGCCTCACACCTTAAGAGTGTGACTTCTTCTATAGGCTAGTCATATAACTTGCCAAGTACTTATTAACAAAATAGTAATCCATATACGTTATCTATCATTCAAGCTCATGTAAAGATAGGAAGTATTCTAGTTCAAAATGTGGAAGTAGTATGAAATACATATCTTAAAGGGTAATGTCTATTTTTTATCCAAACCCTTTCAGATCTTTTATATTATCCACATCTATTAAAATGCTATTAATTAGCCAAATCTTTCGTAATGCATCAAAATAGTAGACATTTTTACGTTATCGTTAATAATTTTGTAACTCTTTTCTTAGTTAAAATACTAAAATGTTGAAATGTTAGACCTTCATGTGTCTATTCCAAGTTAGTATCATGTTTCCAAGCCAATATTACTAACAAAATTGCTAAATGGAAGTTAATTAACATTTGGCTATTTCTTCGTATTTCGATAGGTTTGGCTAATAAAAAAGAATCCGACAAAGGTTTGGCTAATAAACAGTCATTACCCTATCTTAAAAATGTTGAAAACTTTACAAACTCCAAGTTATAAGATTCGGAAAAGGTCAATAAGTTAGCACAAGTAAAATGGTATAACATTTTATCCAATGAAGTAGTGAAATTGAAACTAACAGTGTCCTACTCCAACTGCAATTTTGGAATCTCAGAACATCTACTATATAGGATAATCTCACACAACTAAGAATCAAGCATTGATACTATTTGAGGTATAGATGGTTGATCATTCTCCTTATACTTGTATAGCATTAATGGGGTATCACTATAGGGTAATTTCTAATCAATCTAGGTAATATTAAGCATAATGCATATTGTAGCATACAATAGAACCACAAGCATCAATAATAAAGAAGAACTCATGACATATATATATATGGGGAGTTCTACGGTACCCCGGATGAAATCCGGGGTACCGCATACCTTAAGTAAGAAAACGCTATCTAGAACTTGAATTGACTGATCTTTCGGACATTATACTGTACTCTAACCCATAAAGATCAAAATCTAGGTCTTAATTCTCTAAATCTTATACCCCAAGAACAATTTAAATAGAAACAATAATCAACAGTTATGATTCGTCCAAATATAGGCAAAAAAAAGTAATACACCATCTTAGGGTTTTTAGTTTATGATTTAGATGATTAGGACCTAGGGTTCACTCATTAAGGGTTAGGGTATAGTATCAGGCCCAAAAATCCTGCTAATTCGAGGTCTAGATAGCGTTTTCATACTCAAGGTATGCGATACCCCAGATTTCACCCGGGGTACCGTAGAAGGCACCATATATATATATATATACATCACATAAGCATCCATACATAGGAAATAGGCACAAAAACATATAGACAAACAAAAGCATGAGATGACATTATAGCAATATATATATATATATATAAATGACCATCACATAAGCATCCATACATAGGAAATAGGCACAAAAACATATAGACAAACAAAAGCATGAGATGACATTATGGCATTCGTCCTCATCTTCGAACAATCAATTTCGTCTAGCTACATAAAAGAGAAGGAAGGTACCACTATTGATGATGACAATATCTCCTTAGCTGCAGACTCTCCTACAAAGACTAAACTATCACTCACATAGAGTGTACATAGAATTTATGAGTTTTTGCAGCCTCACTAGACTAATGAATCATGCCCTCTGTTTATAGAGGGAGAACCCGGCCTAAAACGTCCTAAATCGACTAGGAAAGAGTCTACTTCACCTTGTGGGCTAAGTAAACTTCCCTAACAAGGATAGGGTATAGTGGCAGTAGGGCGACGGTCGACACCACCACTCTTTTTCTTCGTGGGTTGTGCTCCTTTGACCTTCGACGACTGATCCTTTCAATTTGGGCACCGTCTGACATATCCTGCATATCGGCTATTGGACCCATTGTTAGGCATCCACTCGTTCTTTCTTCAGCTTGGGACGAGCCTTCCTCCTATGGGCTTGTCTTGACTTTATTAAGTGATTTCTAGTTGACTTCTCCATCATTGGATCTCCTCTTTCTTATGAAAGCTCCATAATCTTTCTTATATAACTCCTTTGATCCTCCAGAGTTCTCCAATGCTTGATTCAATCTTCCTTAGGTTGTTTGGTACCTTTAAAACCATAAAAAAACATATCCTGAAGGCATTCAAGAGTACAAGAAAATAACCTAGGTCCATTAAAGGTTCATTGATCAGATAGTTGTGATTTGGATAGGAAATACTATTGAAATAACCAAAGTTGCTTTGTTAGAAGAGGAAAATGTATTGAGAATGGGAGTGACAAATACTATAAATAAAAAGTCATCATCTTTCTTTTTGATTTCCATGTTTGGTTTATTTTAAATTCGATTGTGTACGTAAGAGAAGGATTGTCTTCAACAAATAAAATCCTCATATTCGACTTTGTGGATGGATGAGACTAAAAACGATAGTCATTCACAGTCGATCACCAATTAATTGAACTGCTCAAACTTCCTGAAGAGATAAATCAATAGGATTACCATCGTTGCCTACTAGATCTGGTAAATGTCATGTCATATGGCAGGAATAAACCCATTAAGAGTAAAAATATCATATTTATCCAGAATCAATCATTTATTCTTGGTTGCATGTAGGAGTGTTTCTTCGAATTTGGCTTACTTTACTACAAACTTGAATCTTATTGTTCTAATTTGGGAACGAGAGATTCAATGGTTGATTCGGGCATAATTACACATGTTTTACCCCTTCATAACTTGATTGTTTGACTTGGTAATCTTTGCTCCTCGACCTATTTTATGCTAGGTTGTGTTCCTTTTGACATATTTCAAGTCCTAGCACGTGTGAAGGATCAAGAAAGAGTTTCGGGATGAATGGAGGTTGAAAAGCGCCAACTGTGAAAAAAGGACAAAGATCACGGGTTGGGGGTGAATATCATGGTCAATCGACTGTGAAGATAGCACCCAAGCCATGATTTCTGCATGGTTCTAGAGAGCATTGGACATCCCACGGACATATACATTGTCACAGTTACAGACCGTGATCTTTGTAAGGAGACCGTGAAGATGGGCGAAAAGGACTGCGTCTTTGGTTGAGATTACGACCGGGTTGTTGAGATCATGATCGTGATCCCAGACCGTGAAAACTGCACTCGGGCTATATAAAAAGGCAACAACTAGAAGAGAGAAAGGAGAGTTTGGTTGAGTTTGAAATTTTAGGGTTCTTCTATGGTGTTCCGACCCAAAACGCCCAAAGGGGCATTTCTAGAGAGAGAAATCTTAAGTGATGTTGGAGCTTAATTGGTGTCTTGGGTTGATCTTGGAATCAAGGATTCAAGCCTGGAAGATGAAGAGCTTGAGCTATTTTGTAATATCGCCCTTCTCTCTATGAATTTGACCTCTTCTCTTAGGTTGATGAACTCGAGGTCTAGATTTTGCTTTGATGTATGTGACAAATTCTATATTTGATTGATCATTTTATTTAGTTGATGGATGGTTTTTATGGATCCCTAGGTTGAATAGAGCACTATCATTCACCGTATGTCATTCTGGGTCAATACCCGAGGGAGTCTAGCTCCTAAATGGTAGATGAATTGAGTCGATCGAGCTTGGATAGTACTCAATATCGTTCTAATGATAGAACTAGGGGGATTCAAGCTAAGAGATGTTAGTTAGCTTAATCACTATTCTGGATTTGTTGGATAACAAAACCTAACCCGAAGTAAGGTACATCTAGAGAACCGTGGTTTTATATGTTTATTGCTTGCTTACCTATGTTACCCCCAGTCGTAGTTTATGCTCGGTCGTTGATTGGTATGTGTAGTTAGGGTCGAGTCAATGGTGAATAACATAACAGGGTTTAGTAGGGAAATAAGGGATTTATGGAGAGCTAAACAAATTACCGAATGCTGGTGTGAATTTCTAGGTGTACTGAAAACATTATTTCAAATCTTCTACGATAAATTCAATAGATCATATATCATTTGCTTTACATCGGATTTAAGATTTTTTTGCGTAGAAATATCAGATATTTTGTGCGCAATAAGATGATATTCATTAAAATATTTTATGAACAAAAAAATTTAATGTAATCTTACCATGCAATCATAGTGGTTAGATCAAGATATAACTTTTGAGATGATATTGTGAAATCTTAATTCAATGATATGATGTGGATATATTTTTGATATGATATATTATGTTGAACAAAATAATCTTATGAAATCATACTACTGTCACATCATGATATTATTACTAGACTGTAATAATAATATCATAATATCACATTGGCATGATATTGGTATGATAATGATATATGATGTTGGTATATGTCTTATATTTAACAAAAATATAATACCACATCTTAACCTCTCATGAGTACGCCCCAATTTAAATTCTATAATCGAATTATAAAACTCATTTATTTAACAATAATAACCAATAATTTTGGTTCGTAAAATTATATTAAAATGCATCTTATAAACTGATGAAATATATTATATATCCCGAGACAAAAAGAAAACAAGTCTTGACAGAAACAGACAAAGAAGGAGCAGAACAGAACAGAACCCCAAAAGGCTACGTACCCTTCATCTTATCTCTAATTAAAAACCTTGACCATCCCTACTAAGTATGATTTATACATTACATAATTATATATAATAATTAACACCTCCCACACCCTTAGTCCACCAGGCTAAACCCACAGCACCACCAAAACAAAAGAAACCCAAAAACCAAACCGACCACCGAGAAGGCGACCGCGATCGAATCCACCACCATCTCTGGAGTACTGGAGGCCACCTAACACAGGACATCCTTGAGTAGCTTATACCTCCGAGTTGAAGGCTTCGGAGACGGCAGTCCCCCGTGATTCCTCCCCGCCGCCGGCGACGACGGTCCCCTGATCTCGTCATCCACTTGCTGCTGCTGCTTGATCTTCAACCCGGAGTACTGGGATCGCTTATTATTGCTACTGCCGGCGCCGCCAGCATCTTGGGATTTCCTCGACGACGTCGCGTTCCTCATCTCCTCGCTCTGGCACCAATCGCACTGCTCAACTGGCTCCGCCAACTGGTGGTTGTAGTAGTTGCTGCAGTACCTGATAATTAATAATGCAATTTACAATTAAGGCCTACCCAAATTAATTAATTAACCTCGCCCCCTTATCAAATTAAACGACAAAAGGACATAATTAATATCAGAATTCGGAAACAAACGTACGAGTGCTGGAAACGGTGGCGGCATTTGTTGCAGCGGAAGAGCTTCTCGGAGAAACCCACATCGCCGCACATGCAGCATACCACTACTCCTGCGGTCTGCTGACTATGACGATCATCCGCCATTATCGACTTCTTCCAAAAGAAATTAAGGAGATAGACACGTACGGAGAAAGGGAGAGAAACAGACAGAAAACAGAGGAAGAGAGAGAGAGTAGCCGGGCAAGAAGCAGGGGAACCCCCAAAGGGTGTCACTGACTTTATATATTACCTGAATATATTTTCCTCAACGCTTATTTTCCTAACGATTTCTATGAGTCGGTCGGTTTGTAAACCCCACTACGGAAATGCTTTTATTAATTGACGATCAACTAATGATCCAAATTTTAGGAAACCCCGAAAAACAAATCAAGAAAAATATTAATTGAAAAGGGAACACAGGCGGACCACAGGTTGCTTGCAGTCGTTTTCAGTTGGGGTGGGGGGGAGCCCAATGAATAATTCTAAAGGAGCTTAGGCATCCCCCACTCCTCTCTCCCTATCCACCTTGAAAAATTAATTAGATGGGAAAATGACAGTTGCATCCTGGCTGTGCCATCTCTTTTACCAAGAGTACCTACCTTTGTACTCTTCTCTACCGTGTATTTTTTTAAGAGATGTTATCATCTCATAACATTAATATGGCCGAGAACTATAGTGGCCCCTTATCAAAATTGAATAGTCAGGAATCGCGAAAGAGGATTATGCCCAACTCACCCAAATTTAGAACCAGGGCCGGTCATGGCCCTGTGCTGACAGGCCTGCTAGCCCTGAGCCTCAAACTTTGGGGGCCTCCATTAAATACAAGAAGACTATGTACAGTTTCTGAATAAATGAGCTAAATCATCGCCCTTATAATGTTACTCTTCTTACAAAATTCATATAGCTAGGCCACCAGAAATACTATATGGGCCAAGGGTATGAAAAAAATGAATTAAATTAATAAATATGTAACTTGTTTCATTGACCATTTCAAAATCACCCACCAACAGTAAAAAAAGAGTATTTTCAGCATCGTAAAAATGTACAATGGACTAGGTTATTGATTTATATTGTTTTAGTATCATTCTGTAAATGTAACGTCCCGATACTTTTAAACAAACCGAAATACTCATGGCTCTGGAGCCGATCGAAATTGTGTCCAAAAATCTCAATAAAATAAGTAAATCCAAGTATTTTCCACAAGAAATTCAAAACAAATGCCCTAAACAGTTGGGCGACCCAAATCCATGGCAAACAAAACCACCCCAAGTCAAAAACCGTGAGGGTTAAGGCCCAAAGCGGACAATATCTTCTTCGGGAAAAGGTTCGGAATGTTACAAGTGCGGGCAAACCTCAACGAGGGCGTTGAGTCCCAAGGGGGGGTGTATGTAACACCTTAGGCGAATCCCACATTGACAAATCATAGGAGAGATTCATGGTTCATAAGTAAGAAACCGACCTTAACTGACAAGACGTGTTTTGGGGTGAAATTGAGGAGTTCTTGTGAGAACTTCGAAGTTTAAACGTGCTCAGTGTGGAGTACAACAAGGATGGGTGACCTTATGGGAAGTCACCTTGAATTGCAGCCCAAGTCGAAAACCGTGAGGGTCGAGGCCCAAAGCGCACAATAACTTGCTCGATAAAAGGTTCGGAATGTTACAAGTGGTATCAGAGCCTCTCCGCGTCCCTCTTGAACGATGGTGGGGCAAACGTCAACGAGGGCGTTGAGTCCCTAGGGGGTGTACGTAACACCTTAGGCAAATCCCACATCGACAAAGCATAGAGAGAGATCCATGGTTTATAAGTAAGAAACCGACCTTAATTGACAAGAAGCATTTTGGGGTGTAATGGAGGAGTTCTTTTGAGAACTCCGAAGTTAAACGTTCTTAGTGTGGATTACAACAAGGATGGGTGATCTTATGGGAAGTCACCATGAATTGCACCCCAAGGAAAAAACCGTGAGGGTCAAGGCCCAAAGCGGACAATATCTTCGCCAGGAAAAGGTTCGAGGTGTTACATCTATGGTGCATCCTAAGGAAATTGTAGAGGATTAGCTTGTCAATGTAGGGTCATTCGCTTATTCTGTTGATTTTGTGATGTTGGATATTAATGAGGATGTGGATGTGTCTTTAATTTAGGGTAGACCATTTCTTGCCACAGGCACTTATTAATGTAAATGATGAAAAGATGATATTGAGGGCAGGGGAGGAACAAGTTACTTTTTTCATTGATCCCAATCTTAGACGTTCTCCCCTGCATGTTGATTTATAATACTGTGATGTGCTTGTTGATTATGAAATCGCACTCACCATCACTAGTGAGGGTACCTGATGATTCCCTTGAGCATTGTCTTTTTCTAGGGGAACATGCATCACAGGAGATGCAGTTGTAGGAGTAACTGGCAACATTAGATGGAGCTGCGATCGAGGGGCGCAAGAGGCCATTCAAGTTGATCCCTATCTCGCCCAGATCGACACATCTCTGGAAGAGCCACCATAGCTAGAGGTTAAGCCCCTCCCCACTCACTTGGAGTATGTATTTCTTTGGGAGGGGAACAAGCTCTAGATGATCATTAGCTCGAAACTGAACCCCAAGCAAAAGAGCGGTCCGGTGGCCCTATTGAAAGAGTGCGCGAGCTGGCCTGAATGATCATCGACGTGGGGCATCAGTCCATCCTTTTGCTTTCACGGGATTCTTATAGAGGATGAGGCCAGACCAGTCAGGCAATCGCATAGGAGGTTGACTCCCATTCTGGAGGCAATGGTCCGAGCCAAAATGATCAAGATGATGGACGCATGGATCATCATCGCCATCTCTAATAGCAGTGGGTAAGTCTCACACAAGTGATCCCAAAGAAAGGCGTGATGACTGTTGTCCCCTAATGAGAAGAACGAGCTAATCTCGATGTGGACAGTGACTGGTGGCGCGCCTGTATTGACTATTGCCGCCTGAATGATGCCACCAGGAAGGACCACTTCCCACTTCCATTCATTGATCAGATGCTGCAGAGGCTAGTGGTACAAGAGTTCTATTGTTTATTGGATGGCATGTCCTGGTACTTTTAGATCCCAATAGCACCGAAGGATCAGTCAAAGACCACTTTCACCTGCCCCTTTGACACCTTTGCATATCGCTGGATTCCCTTTGGTCTTTGCAATACTAGAGATCAGTACCACCATAGTGGATCATAGTAAATTTAAATGGAGCATTTCTATATTAGTAGAATCACTTACTATAGGCCTATACCATAAACTTGGGAGTGGTCATTGCGAGTATGGATCTGGGTTATCCCTGCAGTGTAGCTTTACAACTAGATTTACAAGGGGAATCTTGATTCTCAGTACTCGGACGAGCCCACCCATTAGACTGCTAGACTCATTCTCTAGCTTTATTCTCTTCTTCAGCATGATTGGGTGATTATGATATCCCATGTCTATTGACAGAAAATCTTAGATGACTGACTATTTGGCTAGTAGAAGCATCTCTATGCTTTTTTTGCTTGCAAACTATTCCTAAAATCCCGAACCTTTTCCCGACGAAGATATTGTCCGCTTTGGGCCTCGACCCTCACGGTTTTTGCCTTGGGGTGCAATTCAAGGTGACTTCCCATAATCCACAACGAGCACATTTAAATTCGGAGTTCTCACAAGAACTCCTCCATTTCACCCCAAAATGTGTGACACCCTAACTCGGCCGAGCACTACTTTCACTAAAATGCCCTTGAAAATTAAAACACTTCAAGTTTAAACTGCAGCAGGAAAAGTTTCATAAATAGAATACTGAAAACACACACTTGTAGTTTAAAGGAATGCCCCAACACGTGGGCAAATGAAACTCAAACTTTAAAATCTCAAACGATCTCCAGTCTATACTCATAATCATAAAATGTAATAACTCAATAATGTCTAACATTGCCGCTTACTGAAAACCTTGACTAGGCATCCTTCATTACGCTCGTACCGTTCTCCTCTAGCTGGGTTCCCTGGAGCTGCTTCTCCCGACCTCACCGCTATCTAACTACTCTTATAGCTCTTCCTCTTCAAACGGGTAAGTGAGTTGGAGTCAGTCTACGCCCTTACGTTTTAAAAGTGTAGTACTTTAGCAATTTACTTCAGATACTTAACTTAAACTGGTGGAAGTTGTTTGTACTTCCACTCTCAAAAATCTTAACTCTTAAAACTGTGTGGGAGCTAAATTTACTCTCCCCTCTTAAACCTCAAATCTCCACTTAAATAGTTGACTGACACAGGGATCCCTCACTAGCTAGTTCGGTTTCCCAACTCATACGTATAAGAAGCCATCCAGGCTTTCCTTAAACTTAACTTAGTTAGGGGAGTCGTAACGATTCATCCCCCTAACATCTTAAACTTATCGTGGTGTCTCTTCACCACGATTTTCAAGAGCATAACTGCTGCTCATCTTAAAAGTCTCAAGAGCATAACTGCTACTCTATCTCAAAATCTCAAATGGCAACGGACTGGCGCTAGTGACTAAAAACTCTTAAAACGGTTCCATCTTCTTCAAAGGTGAAATACTTCTTAAAAAATGACTCGTTCTTTAACTTTAACAATAACTCATAAACGTAAAGCTTCCAAGTAAGAAATAAACTCGTACACATTCACTTCAAATCATAGCTCAACCAAAGCACACCAAACCGGTCCTATCACCAACAGGGAGGCATTGCAGGGCGGTTCAACCGCAATGAGCAAGATCAAGGGCAAGGATCTAAAGCAACTTGGCAACCAAGACTGTTTGCCACGAGGAGAGAAGAAGCTGACGTTGTACCTGATGTGGTGACAGGCATGATGTCACTTTATCACCAGCCAGCTTTTGTATTGTTTGATTCCGGTTCCACGCACTCTTTCATTTCCACCAATCTTGCTAGAACCTTAGGAATTCAATTTGTGAGGTTGGGGAAGAATTTAGGGTTAAGAACCAATGTGGGGGATACCCTTATAATAGACTCAGTCATTCGGGGTTGTCTTATCACCGTTGCCGGGCACGAATTTGAGGCGAACTTGATTCTACTACCCTTCGACGAGTTCAATGTTATCTTGGGTATGGATTGGATATCAAAGAATAGAGAGAAGGTGGACTGCTACAAGAAGGAGGTTAGTCTGGAGATAGAAGTAAAGTGTGTTGCATTGTTCAAAGTGACTAAAAAGCTTATTCCGGGATGCTTAATCTCCGCGGTTAAGGCATTCTAATTGATTCAAGAAGGTTGTGAAGCATATTTAGCTCATTTAAAGGAGGTTCAAGAGAAGAAGATATAAGATGTCCCTTTTTTAAGAGAATACCCCGAGGTATTCCCCGAAGATCTCCCTGGGCTACCACCGCAGCGGGAGGTGGAATTTCATATTGAAGTGATTCCTGTCACTGCACCGATATCTATTGCTCCTTAACGTATGGCACCAATGGAGTTAAAGGAGTTGAAGGAGCAGTTGCAGGATCTGTTGGAGAAGAGGTTCATAAGCCTAAATGTATCGCCATGGGGCGCACCGGTGTGGTTCGTGAAGAAGAAGGATGGCAGTATGAGACTGTGCATTGACTATAGGAAGATGAACAAGGCTACCATCAAGAAACACTATCCTTTTCCCAGGATAGATGATCTCTTCGAACAGCTACAAAGAGAAAGGGTGTTTTCCAAGATGGATCTGCGGTCAGGGTATCATCAGTTGCAAGTGGCATATGGTTCAATACCTAAGACGACCTTTCGCACCAGGTACGACCACTATGAGTTCCTGGTCATGCCATTTGGTTTGACTAATGCACCGACAACTTTTATGGCACTAATGAACCAGGTTCTTCACGAGTACTTGGACAAGTTTGTCATTGTCTTCATAGATGGCATACTCATCTACACGAGGACTAAGGAAGAGCACGAGAGCACCTTAGGGTGATTTTGAAGAAGTTGAAGGGGGAGAAGCTATATGCAAAGTTCTCGAAGTGTGATTTTTGGTTGGAGGAGGTCTTGTTCTTGGGTCACATGATTTCTGGATGTGGAGTTGAAGTGGATCCCAAGAAGATTGAAGCTG